CAGCTATCACCCAGCAAGGAGCAGAGGCCCTCAGCCCATCTGCCCACATAGAACTGAAGCCTGTAGACAACGGAAACAGACCTTTCCCCATCTGACCCTTCAAATGACACCTCAGCCCCAGGCTTGTGACAGGCTGACATGGAGGACACTTTGAGCCTCACCCAGACTGCTGACCCTCAGAAACTGAGGTCATGAATGGGTGCTGTTTTAAGCCATTAAGCTTGGGATGATTTTTAATAATTAAGCAGTAGGTAGCCAACACACCATGCTTTAGAAATACTCATCCACGTATTTCCGTGCCAGGAACTGTTCCAGGTGCTTGGTACACATCAGTGAGCAAAGCAGAGCAAAATTCCTTCTCTCATGGATCGTAAATTCTAGTGTTGGGTGTGTCTGTGTGTTGGCCAATAGGCCTAAGAAAGACGTTATATAGTGATGCATTAGCCAGGGTGCTCCAGAGAACCAGCCTGAGAGGGAATTCACTAGGGAACTGGTGTCAGGATCACAGCAGCTAAGTACATGACAGGCTCTCCTCCTACTGGGGACCCTGGGATGGCTCAGTACAGTATGCAGGCCTCAGAACCCACAAAGCTGATGGTGTGGTTCTCAGCTAAAGCCCAAACACCCGGGCACTGAATATTTACATCCTGGAACCCCAAGCCCAACACGCCCGTAGTTCTGATCTCTTAGCTGTATGGGGGAGGGTATTCTGTTTCATGGAGGGTGGATCTCTCTCCATCAGACTTACATGCCAACCTCCTCTGGACCCCTCCCAGACACACCCAAAATAACACTTTACCTGGTTTCTAGCTATTCCTTTGTCTGGCCACGTCTGACACCTAAAATTAACCATGGCAGGTGTCCTGGTCTGATCAGGTCATTATACCAGAACACCACGAGCTGGATGATTTATAATCCAGACATTTCCCTCACGCAGCTCTGGAGGCTGTAAGTCTGACATCAGGATTTCAGCATGACCAGGTTCTGATTCACATATGGCTACCTTTCTGCTGGGTCTTCACACAGCAGGGAGAGAGTGCTCTGGTCCCTTGTCCCCTCACAAGGGCACCAATTCCATCACGGGATGACCTCATCGAAGCTCAATCACCTCCCAAAGGCTACACCTCCAAATAGCACCACATTGAGGATCAGGGCTTCATTCATACACTGTAAGAAAGTTTGTTAGATGGGCTTACATTAATACCACAGAGAAGGCAGGAGGAGTGAGCTGGGCACTTACTATTTTAAACCTGTCCTGAGAAAGTTATATTAAGCAAGGCTTCAGAGTCATGCTGAAATCTCTGCGGAGAGTACTTCAGGCAGGGGAAATAGTCAGTGCAAAGGCCCTGAGGCTGAATCACACCTGAAGAGACTCAGCCAAGAGACCAAGACTAGAGCAGAGGGCTGAGGACAGGGCTGTAGGAGAGAAGTCCAGAGGTACAGCTAGAGGGAGACAGGCTGCTGTGAGTTCTTTGCTTTTCTTTTCTGAGAAGTGGTGTGTTCTGACTATCCCCCCGTCCTCGCTGGTCACTACCCCTTCCTGTCCACCCTTACAAACTGGAGTGCCTTATACATCAGCCAAACTGACTGCCTTAATAAGCAAAGAGACCTGCCCTGTTTTGAAGTGGATTTCTGGCTCATTTTTCTCACAAGACTTTCCAGATCCCCAACATCCTTGAAGGACATCCCAAGCCCTGCCTGCCTTCTCCCACCACCTCTAGCCTCATTCTCAAATTCTCCCCCACATAGGAAAGCTGGGCAGGCTGGGTCTATCTGGCTGCTGCTGGTTCTGGGCACTGGGCTGGGAGGTCTGCCAGGAAGGTCCACATTCTACTTTCCTGAGTGCAGGTGATCGGGCCCAGGGTGGAAGCTGGTGTCTTGGCAGAGTTCTGTACTCCTGTGCTTTTCATGGAGTCCTCCTCCTCTCACCTGTCCCCTACCACCCTGCACCCCCATCCCAACACGGGCACTGTCCACCCTCCGTGCCATGACATCCAGTCTCTCCCCTTCTCTGTCTCACTTGCAGGACTGTGTGCCCTGCTGTCATCAACACTCGAACAATTAAAATGCCCCTTTCTACGAACAAGGATAGTCAAGGCAAAATTCAAAAAAACAAGACAATCAGTTTCAAGGAGAGCAATAATAACGGTGTTTGTGCCTACGTGAAGTCAAGGCCACTTAGGTGTTCTGTAAGTGGGAAAACCAGGTTGCAAAGTTAAATCCCAAGGTCATTCGTTAAACACTGCAAATGGAAGGAATGCTACTCATGTATTTCTCTAAGCAATGACCATGGGTGTGGCTTTATTTCATATTCCTAGACGTGATCCTTGGGGAAATAATAACCCTGATTTTTTTCTTTAAATACTGAACAATGAACCCAGGACCTTGCTCTTGCTACCAGTGGACTAGCCACCCTAGCCTCTTGGCTTTTATTTTGTTTTTGAGATAGAGTCTCATTAACTTTGCCTGGGTTGGCCAGGTACTCACAACCCTGTCTCACTTCCCGAGCAGCTGGGATTGCAGTCCTGCACCATCATGCCCTGGAATAGTAACAAACCTTTAGAAAACATGATAGAAAGAGACTAGACAGGGTGGCTGGCAATTTGAGTTAAACTCTACAAGTGTTCTTTTTTTCCCTTCAAAAGTTATCTTCTAAAGGAAGGTTCCATAGGTGTGGGGGAGAAAATGAATTCACAAGGAAGCAGATAAAACCCTGCCTCCTCTAACATCCAAATGTACCCAGTTTGAATTTTTCTTGAAGAAGACCCTCTGACGCATGAGTCTCAGGACCCATCCTTGAGGAGACTACAGATGGTGACTTCTCCTTTTTCTGGGGATGAAGAAGGAAGAAGAGTAAGGGAGAAAAGGCACTTGCCAGGCAGAGAAGAGTCAAGCTGATAATCCCTACTTTCTGAGGCCACATGGCAGTGGGCAGGGCCTGACCTCAGTCACCTGTGGGCTCTGGGGAAGCAGCTTGTACCCCACTCTGCTCACACCCAGGTCCTCCTTGTGGAAGCCTGTCTCACCAGCTGGTGGGAACCAGCTTCAGATTGAAGCAAGAATGAGGTGAGGCCAGGGACGCTGGGGCCCCTACACGGTGGCCCAACCAGTGCTGTCAGGAAGGGCCCTGCTTAGAAGGGTCTTTACCTGTGTCACCTTCTGCTGTCTTGACATTCTTCGTTTTTGAGCAAGGCCCTGCAAACTGTGTAGTGGTTTTTCTGTACCCTAGAATTTTCTGTCTGAGGCGAGTCCTCGTTGGCTTCCTGCACAGGCCACTTGGCCCCTGGCTTCCTGATTTCGTGGAGCCCTGAAGACCCAGGAGGGTGGCTTCCTGAGTTGTTCTTGTTGGACCCACTTGAGGCACTCTCCAGGCATCCGCCATCCTGATCTGTGTTTCCTCCTGGAGGAGCGTGGGGTCAGTAGAGTCGCCTTCTTCAAGCTGTGTGTGGACTCGATGCACTGACCGCACAGGGACCACTGCATAAACGAATGTCTCCGCAACAACCAATGACCAGCCAGGCAACCGAGCACCTCCCTTCGCGCTGTGCATTTTCGAGGGAAGTCACCAGCGGGGCCTGTGGGTACACTGCGACAGACGATCTGCTTAAGATGGTCTTTCCAAGCACAGCCTGAAATAGAGGCCACACTGTCCACGGCCCCTAAAGAAGGCCGACTTTGCCTGGAGCTAGGGTCTGCTTGGGTCACCTGGGCAGGTGTACTCGAGATAGACAGGGCAGACCAGAGGTCAGCCCGCAGCCAATGCGTGTGGACATCACAGTCCCGGTGCTCGAGCCCGCACACGGGGTGAGGTAGGGTGTCGACATACAGCGCCCGGGGTCACATCCCTGGGCAGAGACCTCAGGCGTTCAGCGCACCCGCGGTCAAGGGTTGGCGTGCACGTGCACGCCCACTGGGCCACCCCAGCCCGCGCCCACCCGGGCCCCAGAGCCGGGACTAGCAGGTGGTGGGGCGGCCATAGGCCGGCACTCACTGGCCGCGCCGTACAGCTTGGGGGGATTCGGCTCCTCGGATGGTACAGCCCGTCCTCCCCGCCATGGCGGCGGATGGTTCCACCCGAAACCTCTACCCCGCTACTGAGGAGCAAGCAGAGGGGGGCGTGGCCCGCGCGAGGCCACGCCCCCCACCGCTGCTGCATAGTCATGAACGGGAAGCTCTGCCTCCGGGGCGGGGCAGACCGCTCCTCGCGCCCGGGGTTGGCCGGCTGGGCGGGGCCTGGCTGAGGGCGCGAGGCGGGGCGGGGCCGGCCTCCACCCCGCCCCTGGCCTCGCCCCGCCCCTGGCCTCGCCCCCACTCCTCAGCCGCCCCGCCCCGCGCCCGCCGCCGCGCAGGGCGGGGGCGGAGCCCGGGCCCGGCAGGCCCCGCCCCCGCGGTGAATATTGATGCGGCGCGCGTCGGCGTCGCCCTCCTCCCATTGAGCGAGGCTGTGTCGCGTGGCCCGGCGTCGGCGTGACGGTTGGACGCGGGCGCGGCACTGCGGGTCCCGATTGCTGCAGCCGCTTGTCAGTGTGATGAAGATTGGCACCCAGGTAAGCTGTCACTCAACCGCTCCGCCGCCGCCGCCGCCGCTCTCGCCGCCGCCGTCCCTATCAATCACACCGGCCGCGGCCGCTGCTGCCGCTGCCGCCGGCGCGGGCCGAGCGGGCGGATGAGCGGGCGGCGCCCAGGGCCGCACTTGACCCGTGCCCGGGGCGGGGGCGGGGGCTGGGGGAGGGGAGCGGCGGGGAGGGGGCGCCGGCCACCGCGGCGCGGGGGCGCGCCCGGCTTGTTTTCCTGTGTGGGTTCAGGGACGCGGAAATTTCTGGAAGGCGCCTGGGCCGCTGCGCTGGGCCCGCTTGAGGCGCGCGCTTTAACCGCCCCTTTTGGAGCGCGGCGCGCGGCCCTGCGCGGGCGGCGGGGGCGCGCGGGCCGCGGGCGGGGGCGCGCGGGCGGGGCGGGGCGGGCCGAGGGACCGGGCGCGCGGGCGGGCCGAGGGGGCGGCGCGGGGCGCGAAGATGGCGGCGGGGTCCTGGAGCCTTGGAGCGCCCACCGCCGAGCGCCCAGCGTCCGTGTGGACCGGGCCTGTTTCGGGCTTGGCGCTGGAGGGTTGGGCTCCGTTTTCCTGGGATTGGCTACAATGCGCAACTTAATAGAAGCTGACTTGAAATAGCTACCGAGGAGGTGCTTGGCACGGTGTGCCCACTCCGGGGGTTTCCCCGTTCCTTTCCAGAGGAATGGCGTGCTTTATTTCACCCCAGTGCTCCGAGGCGGTGGCCTTACTTCGGCAGTGGCCGGGAGGCCCACCCGGCGGGGTCCTGTCTTCGTGCCGGTGCCCTGGACCGCGCCGAGCCGCCGCCCCGCCGCCGGCGTGCGTTGGCCAGGTTGGATCGCAGAGTTCAGAATAGACTTGGCATAGGTAACGGGTTCTAAGCTTATAAGGACGCTTATTATAAGCTTGCTATAAAAGTAACTGATTTCTTCGGAAGGCGGAGGCACTGTCCACTAAAGGGTGCAAGAACAGACACCCCCGCTCCGGTTTTAATTAGGCCTCATTTCATGATACTGAAATTTTTCTCTAGACTTGGTGTGGAAAGGTTTGAGTGAAACCCGAGTGTGTTGCTGGTACAGTTCTTGGTGATGCACTGGCGACCGGTTTCTTTGGAATGTGGCAAACTGGATCAGTCGTTCCTCAGTTTATGTAGTGTGGAGACTGGTGTGTGGACGGTCTAGTTGCAACACCTACAAGTCGTCGTTGTGTTATGTGCCACTATCAAGATTAACAGTCTCGTGATTTAAATGTCATCAGGTGACGTGGCTAGTGACAGAATTTCTGGACTCACTTTACATTTCGTTACATTTCTGTGTCAGTGTATCCTAACTTTAGGGAAGTTAGGATTGTGAGTTGTGGAAACAAAGTTACAGAAGTAGTAACGTACTGTTTACAACTTGCACGTTTGTTGTAAATTGTTAAAAGTCTTTGAAATGGCTTAGAAGAAAAGCTGGAAAAACTGCTTAAGTGATGCAGAATGTAGGCCCAGGGGCCTCCACTTCCCAGTGCCTGGCCAGAATAAAATAGGATCAAGAAGAGAACTAATGATACTGAAATACAATCATCAACATACCAAACCAAATTGGTGATGGAGTCCCATCTGAGCCTTGTGTTAACTATGTAAGCAGGCTGGGCAGTACTCTTATTCAGTCCTTTGGGAGTATTGAGGAGGTTTCTGTGACAACTCAAATGACATACCTGACAATGGTCCTGCTGAAACTCTAGGACTTATTTGTCTGTCTTTATCATAGAAGTGCTAAATTTCAGACAGAAGTTATTTCAGATAAAGATTTTTTTCCTCATTCAGGTTCAAATACCAGGTTAAGAATGTCTGAAGTCCATGTACTCTCAGCCATCTCTTGGTAGGAAAATGGATGAGGTGTCCTTCTCTTCCTGGCATGATTTTATTGGTCGCAGAGGTGACAAGGAATTCAAGTATCACAGCACAGCAGTGTGGGATCATCAGGGGTGAGGAAAGCAGCCACAGCCCTTGACCAGCTGTGCTGACTCTGAGAGGCTGAGTTACAATTAGATCTTGTATAAGTGATTTAAGAAGACGTATAAAGTGGAAATATGTGTAAAAATTTCTGTCTGGAAATTGATGGGATGAACATCTGAGGGCTGAGAGGCACAGTCATTTGGTGGGCCTGGCCACAAAGGCTGCCTAGTGTCCTGCTAATGGGACTGGATACTAACTTGCCTGGCAGCCCCACATTTTAGTTTATCAGCCTCTGCTGGTTTAGTTGTTGTTTCTGGAAAATTCACACGAAGGGCAGTGAGATGCTACAGCCAATGTGTTGTCCAACTGGGGGTTTTAAACTCCTGCTTTTCTGAAGCTCTGTTGTTCTGAAGGCATGTCGTAAGGACTTGATAAGGGGATGGAGCAGCCCTTAGTTCTATCCTTTTTTTTTTTTGGTGGGACTGGGCTTTGAACTCAAGGCCTAGTGCTTGCAAAGCCAGCATTCTGCTTGAGCCACACCCCAAGCCTTTAACATTTTCCTGGGATAAAGGGCTACAACTTTTTCAAAGTCTCAAAAACCACTGATCTGCCAGATTAAGAGACAGAGCGTCAGTGAGTTAATAAAAGTTTTGGATTCATTGGACTAGGGTGGTAGAGCTCGTGCTTAGTATGCACACGGCCACGGATTTGTTCTCCAGCAACCCCATCCAGCTGAACTCATTTTACTGTCCTGACCTTTCTCTAAAATGATGTGCCGTCATCCCGACAGGTGAAGCCACCACCTGCCTTCCTCATCAGGGTAAGCTGCTCAGCATGGATAGTTAGTGCCACTGTCTGGTGGAGAGCATTTCTGCTCAGGGTGATCCTGTCACTTAAAGGACTGCAGAGTAAAGGCATCTCCAGGTGAGGCTACAGAGGGATGGCTGCTGGGATCACCTAGGTTATTCCTGGGTGGACAGCAGTAATCTAGAGGGATCCCTGGCGCTCCCATATTATTGGCCCTCTGGGGAAATGGCACCATGGTTTGTTCTGGCAGGATTTGGTTGCAATGTGATGCTACAGCCAATGTGTTACTGCACAAGACCCTAACAGGGTCTTGGCTTTCTCCATGAAGTTAGGCTGTTCTTTCTGTCTATCCTTTCTGCACAGTGAGTCTCCCACAGCTTAGGCCCAACCCAGCTCTGCCTCTGAGCCACTCCCAGCCCCCAGCTCTACCAGCTTCATCGTCCCTCTTGGAGAGAGACTGAGCACTTTATCCACACACCGCCTCCCATGCACTGACACATGGGCTGGAAGCTGGCCTTGGAGCTGCAGAGCTACATCATTAAACAAACTAGCCCTTTTCACCCTCTCCCCAGCATCTGGCAACACTCTACTTTCTGTCTCTATGAACTTGCCTGTTTTAGGTATCCCACATAAATGGAATCATACAGTATTTGTCTTTTCGTGACCAGCTTGTTTTACTCAAAGTGTCTGTATTTCAGCATGTGTCAGAATTTCTATATTTTTAAGGCTGAGTGATATTCCATTGTATGTATGTACCACATTTTGTTTATCCCTCCATCCCTTGATGACACGAGTTCCTCCACCTTTTGGCTGTTGTGAATAATGTAGCTTTGAACACCGTTGTGCAAAGATCTTTTGAGTTCTTCTTGGTGTAGAGTCAGAATGCTACACCATGTTAGTACTATGTTTAACTTTTTGAGAAATGACCATGCTGTTTTCCACAGGGGCACCATTTTACATCCCCACCAATGGTGCACAAGGGTTCTAGCTTGCTCACATCCTTGCCAACATTATTTTCTGTGTATTTTGTGGTGCTGGGAATCTAACCCAGGGCTTCATGGATGCTAGGCAAGCTCTATCATTGAGCTGCAATCACAGCCCCTCCCCTGGCACTCAGTACCTTGCAACAGTTAGACAGGTGCTCTACCACTTGAGGCCTCAAACCTTTCTGCTTTAGGTATTTTTTAAATAGGGTCTTGCGTTTATGCCCTGAGCAGCCTGAACTGCGATCCTCTTTCTTGTGCTTGTAGCCAGGATGACAGGTGCATGCCACCATGCCCAGCTTTTGATTGAAATGGAGTCTGGTGAGCTTTCTGCCCAGCTTAAGCATGAACCTCAGTCGTCCCAAATAGCTAGGATTACAGGCAGTCTCCCATACCTCTAGCTACCCATCTGTTTATGTTTATATATATTTTTGGTGGTACTAGCATTTGAACTCTGGATCATGCTTGTTAGAGTGCTACTCTACTGCTTGAACCAAGCCTCCAGTCCTTTTTTTTTTTTTTAAATAGTAGCCTTTCTAATGGGTTTGAGATGGCATATTATTATAGCTTTGATCTGCATTTCCCTAATGATCAGTGATGTTGGGCATCTTTTCATGTGCTTATTGGTAATTTGTGTATTTTCTTTGGATAGTGTCTATTAAGTCCTTTGCCCATCTTTGAGTCTGGTGGTTTCTGTGGATGTGAATGTATTTTACATATTGATTGGTTAAGCTCTTTTGTGTTATATATTTAGTGGTGGTATTATGTATTTTGTACATATTTACCTAAATGTTTTTCATAATTTTTTTAAAATTTCACAGTTTTGTGGTTCTGTTTTTTAAAAATATTTTATAGTCATGTCATGTGTTTGACCCTTCTAAGCGTTTAGGTTTGGATATTCTGTGTGTTTTGTCATCTGAAAGCTGGCTTTCCTTGGATGCCCCTCCTCCCATCCTGGTACTAGTGAGGTTGACAGGTTCTGTGGGTAGGAAGGGCAGCAGCTGCTGGAAGGAGACCTGCTTCTACACCACTCTGTCTCTGAGCACAGGCAGTGCTCCTGGGGAAGGACTGCCTTTGGGAAAGTGGCCTTTGCCTGGAAGGCTTAGGGTTCCTTTCCCTACCTTCCTTTTCCTCCCTCCTTCCCCCCTCATCTCCTAGGACCTGGCCAGTGCTAAGCACACCCTCTACCACTGTACTTCACCCAGCCCATATTTCTCATAAAACATGTTTGTTGATCCTTACCAACAAGGACCCGATGAAAGTTTTGTGTATCGGTTTATAATGATGCCAAAGATAGTCACGGTCTTAAAGCTTTGACATGAATTTAGATTTACCAGCTGTAGTAGACCATATAGCTCAGAGTCTATTAAAGCAAATTCTAAAACCATTGAAATGCCTTTGTTATTAGGATTTTACTTTGTCTGTTTTAGAATATTTATATTAGTTGTACAGGGCGTTTCATTGTGAGATTTCTGTGTATGCTTACAGTGTACCTTGCTTAGATTCACCCCTCCATTATTCTTTAGTGGCTATGTGGGCATTCGAGTTGGAAATACTCTTTGTACAGGCTTTTTGTTTTGTTTTTGCGACCTGTCTCACTAAGTAATAGAGGCTGGCCTTGTGGGGCTCAAACTCGTGATTCTCCTGCCTTGGCCTCCCATGTGTTGGGATTACAGGTGTGTACCACCATGCCTGGCACAGGTTTTATTTAATAGGATTTAATATCTGTGATTTAATTTGGGTATCAAATTTCATGTGGCATCTTCTCAAAGCTTATTTGAAAAATAAAGTACTTCTTGGCCAATATGTCCATCCAAATGAGTTACTTATTGGCTGAGTGTCTCTGTGGGATAGGCGAATGAGGGCTGTGGTTGGAGCCAGGTGGACATCTGGCTTGTGGTTCCTGAGCCCCAGTTGCTTAAAATCTCTCACACACAAGATGAAAACTCATTGAACTGTGATGGTCCGTATAGTTAGTGCCCTAAAATGTATCTTGGAGAAGGTACCTTGCTTGAATATAGAATTTTGACCTTTTTCTTGGCTGCCTTGACAGCTTCCATAGGCTTGTTAATAAACAGGTTTCATTTGGAAAAGGATCATCAGTTAAGTGTCTTTTGGAAAAATTAGTAAACAAAAGAGAAATCTTGAGATACAGATAAAGACTCTTGTTGTCTCTGGTCCCTTTCTGGCTTCATAACCACCTCTCCCAGAGCTGCCTTTGCACACTGGAATTGAGCTTACCTTAGAATTTTCAGCCCTTCATCTAGGAAGTGCCCCTGCTGGGGAGGTTGTCCTGTGCTAAGTGTGGCAGCTGGAGAGGAACACAGGGATGCTGGGACCTATCAGGTGCCAGCATTGACTTAATACGTTATAATGCGTGAGACTTGTTGCCAGCCTGAGTTAAGGAATACAATTTTGGTGGGTTAAAAGAAGTACAGATTTGTTTTTTTTTTTTAAGTATGTCATTGCTTTTGGCCTGTTGCCTAAGATTAGGCATAAAATGCCAGCGAGGTCTATTTTTGCATGGGCTTAGAACTATGGATAGTTCATACTTGTTTTGAGACAGGGTCTCCATATGTAACCCGCGCTGGCTTTGAGCTCTCTATCCTCCCGCCTCAGCACCCAGCATCACAGGTGTGGTTCATGCATTGATAAAGAGCTGTAAAGAAAGGAAAGGGGGATGTGGTAGAGGTAATATGGGACCCAGACCTACAATACTCACTGTCTAGCCTTTCCTAGAAACAGTTTGCTGGATATGTGTGTCCTGTCCTGTGTGTCATCATTGTTGTTGTCCCAGCCTCCCCCGAAGTCTCTAAAAGGAAACAAATCAAAGTTGGTATGGATTTAAATGGAATCCAGTAGCATAACTGATAATTGTTAGGGAAATACGAATAATAAATGGGGAATAGAGAAGATATACCTTTTCAGTGGACTCTTGCCTTGATGTGATGTGTATATAATATTTGTATAAAAACTAAGGCAAATGCCAGGTGTCAGTGTTTACAGTTCGAAGACAGCCCAAGCAAATAGTTCTGTAAGACCCTATCTTGAAAAACCCTTCACAAAAGTAGGGCTGGTGGAGTGGCTCAAAATGAAGGCCCTGAGTTCAAGCCCAGGAATTGCAAAATAAATAAATAATAAAAACTAAGTCTAAGGAAGTAGCTCTTAAGTTATCACTGGAATCAGAACACATGAATAAATGCTTACTTCTAGGACAAGCTACCCTTGAGCACTGGGGGTCCTGTTTTGCTCAAGAAGTCAGCATGGGGACTGGGATGTAGCTTGGTGGTAGAATACTTGCCTGTCTCTAGCATGAGGCTTAGGGTTTGATCCCCAGCACTGCTTAAAAAAGAGGTCAGCATGGAGGGCCATTCTTTCCAGAGGTTCCACTGTGGTACCCAGAGCAGCTGGGCTGAGGCCATTGTGAAAGCAAAGAGGGCTGCTTGGTGAGCATGTGGGTGTAGGCTGGATGCCGGTCATGCCTGGTCCCCGAGGACAGGAGGGCTGCCAGGGGTCTCAACTGTTGCTCTGGCTTTCTTTCTAGAATCCCCCACTGTTTGTTTGTTGTTTGTTCTTGGCCTCCACCTTTCTTTCAGGATTTCTTCTGTAAAAGGAATAGAAAAAGGAGACTCATTTTGGTGCTTCTGTGATAAGTTTTCTTATGGACCTTTGGTTAAGATGTTTAGAATTTGCTTATTTATTTGTTTCCATTCTTACATATGCCCCTGCATATCTGGGATTACAGATATGCACCACTATATCTGTCTTATTTTGTTGAGATGGGGGTCTTCACTGATATTTTCGAATGGGTTGGCTTTGAACCATGATTCTCCCAATCTCTGCCTCCCTGGTAGCTAGGATTACTGGTGTAAGCCACTGCACCATTTTATTTTAAACTTTGCAAGTCTCTGAACTTTTTAAAACTCAGGGCTTTGAAATTGTAGAGCAGTGCTCTTCCACTTGATCCATGTCTCCAGTCCATTTTGCTCTGGTTATTTTGAAGATGGGGTCTCACAAACTATTTTGCTCAGTCCTCGTGATGTCAGCTTCTTAAGTAACTAGGATTACAGGCATGAGCCACTGGTGCCTGGCCTCCATACTTTTATGTATGTTCCTTTTCTTCTCTTGGTTTTAAAAAAAGTATCCTATTTGATCATGTTCCAAGTAGAGAATTCAGTTGTTGAGTTTGTTTTCATGGAAATAATTGTGGATTCTTTCCAGTGTCTCTGTCTTCAAAGCATAAAACCATGTCTTTCTAATGTAATTTACTCTCTGATTCCTTACCCTCCAGCTCCATCCCCTGATTTCTCTGGTTCAGTTACCTACGGGCAGCCATGATCCAAAAAATATTAAATGCACAAATTCCAGAAATAAGCCATTTGTAAGTTTTAAGTAACTTTTTCTACAGTATATTGTTATAGTTGTTCTGTTATTAGCCTTGGTAGTCACTTAACTTATGAAATAAAATTTATCATAGGTATTTAGAGTAAAAAACATACTATATGTGGGGCTTGCTACTATAGTCAGTTTCAGGCATCTCCAGCGGGTCTTGGAACATATTTTCATGCAGATAACTAAAGATTCCTATAATAATAAATTATGTTGAAAGTGGCTAGTACAAACAGAATATTTTCATGGTTTCTCTTTTTAGCCATATTTCTGATGGGTGTCATTAAAAGTATCTGATGCTCAAAAGTGTGCTGTGTGAGATGCTTTGCTAAGATTGGTGGGTCTCCATACTACTGCACTGATGAGCATGTGCAGTGCAAGTGTGTGCGTGCACAGATACATGGTGGTACATGGGTTACGACATCACCTGGGAATGATACGTTAGAACTAAGTGAACCCCACAGATACTAACATTTGACCATTAAATACTCTGTAATTCATTTTGAGGACTTAAAAACTGCTTCTGAAATGACCCAGATGTGATTCCCTTCTACGTTGTTGCATACTTACCTCAGCCCTGAGCACATAAAGACCATTCAGTCATGGTCCTTGCTACTAAAGAGCACAAATTCAAGTCTGGAAGCTTAATAAACATATTTTATTTTGTGGTTGTTGTTTTCTTTTGCCTGATATGGGGTCTTACTATGTTGCCTAGGCTAGCCTGAAATGCTTGGGTTCAAATGATCTTCATGCCTCAGCTTCCCATGTAGCTGACGCTGCAGGTGCACAGACTGTACCTGGCTTGTAAGTGTAATTTTATGTTAATGGATGATACAGAATTGTTATGGAAACCATCTGGGATAGTGGTGTTAGTGCTGACTTTAGGTAGTGTGAAAATAATCACTAGATGACTGAGGATAGGATATGTAACTCCCAGAATACCAGAGAGGAAAAATTAAACAAAGAAAGACTTGTTTTGAAAAAACAACACAGCTGGGCCCTGGTAGCTCATGCCAATAACCCTAGATACTCAGGAGGCACAGCTCCGGAGGATCCTGGTTTGAGATCAGTCTGGGCAAAAAGTGAGACCCTATCTCAAAAATACCCAACACAAAAGAAATAACTAGCAGAATCACTCAAATGGTAGAGCACCTGCCCAGCAAGTATGAGGCCTTGAGTTCAAAATCCTGAATCACCCAAACAAACCCAAGATGATGTGAATAAGCCCAGATACATCAGGAATCAATCACAATTAATGTGCAAGGATAATTAAATCTCTCAGATGAAAAACTCCAGATCTAGCAGAAAAATGGTATCTACCTAATGCTCTGCATAAGTGAGACATCTCACACAAACACGTGTGAGTGGATGGGAAATTGTTTCAGTCTAACAAGAAGAAGCTGTCCAGCACTAGATAGAGGACTCCTCCTAAATAGAAAAGCAGTGGAGGGCTACTGATATGCTACTCAAAGGTACAGTTACCATCATAAACTTAGGTGCCTCACAACATGGTTTACAGAGATTGATGGGAGCAAGAGGACTTGACAGTTCTACACCCAGAGGGTGACTCTCAGCAACCTAGGGCCTAAGTAGATCAAAGAAGAGTGAGGGTGTCTGGCAGGAGTTCTCAGCCTGGCAGGGCGTGTGTGTGTGGAATCAGATCACCATTGTGATCTCTCCCTTATCTGATAACCAAAAATGTCTCCACACATTGTCAGATGCGCCCTGGGGGCCAAAATTGTTTCCAGTTGAGAGCTACTGATACAGAGGATTTAAGCTAACATGCCTAATGTGTTGGAGCTAATGGATGTGTCCAGAAATTTTACCCAGTAAACATAAAATATTTGCTTTAGTCACATAGAACACTTAGCAAAATTGGCTGAATATTAGGCTACAAAGAAAAATCTCCAGTTTAAAAAGTAAATCCTGTCAGGGGTATTGGTTCATGACTATAATTCCAGCACTTGGGAAGCTGAGGCAGGAGGATTGGGAGTTTAAAGCTGGCCAGCTATATAGTGAGACCCTGTCTCAAAAAGTAAATCCTATAAACACAAACTAGTTAGAACTTAAAAGTGAGAAGATAGCTGAAGATACCTACCTCGAAAGTTTAAGACCCCCTTCTATATCTCTTGTGTTAAAGAAGAGATCAAAAAACTATTTGCTGACTCTGCATAAATGAAAGACAGGGTTACACATGCTAACCCATGGGATAAGAACAAACAGTTCTCAGGAGAAAGAAACCATAGTTCCTTAGGTGCATTTGCTACAGAATAAGAAAATAAGTAAATTGAGTTTTCATCTTAAGATACTGGAAAAATAAAATTAACCTAAAGAAAAGAGGTGAATCTATTTTTGCTTTTGGCAAATCTGGTTAAAAAGAAATGAGAACATAATATTTCTTAAATACATTGTAAAGGAATATAATGCAGATTGAAGACTGTACAAATAGAACAAGTTTTTTTGGGTGTGTGCATTGGAGGGGGGAGTAGAGTTCAAGAGGCATGACTCAAGCAGTGGAGCACCAATATTGCAAGCCTGAAGCCGTTTTCAAACCCCAGTACTGCCGAAACATAATAACAAGTGACATAACTCAATAGCAGGGACTTTGAGAAGCTGTGGGTAGATAGTGAAGAAGACACAAATAACCAGAGTTCACCTTTGAGGTAGAACACCTGTACAGACCAGAAACTTGAGACAATTGAGTGCTTAAAAAGGCACCCAGCAGAGATGGTTGAGTTATATTGAATTTTCATGGAACAGGTAATTCCAATGTGGCTCAAATTGTAGCACCCATTCACTAAGCAAATAATTGAGCACCTGCTACATAACGTGCTCTGGTGGTGGCTGAGAGTATGGAGGTGAACAGAAACTGATGGGGTCCTGCCGTCCTGGAAGGAAGCAAACTCATCAGTAACCCATCAAGACAAATGCTTCATCACAACTGTGCTAAGGACCAGGAAAGGAGGCAGGCTTTTCTCTGAACTGCAGGTCAGAGGTCACGACTGGCTCTCCTATACTGGATGACTACTGTGTCCCCTAGTGGAGCAGGGAGTGGAGTGATTCTAGACAGAAGTGTGAGCTGTGTGTTGAGAAGCCCAAAGGAACCTGAACAGGCCAATGTGACCACAGTTCAAGGAGGGAAAAGTGCAAGGGTCCAGTCATGCCTACAATCTTTGGCTGTGCTGGGGATTATAGTCTTCATCTGGTAGCCAATAGGAGCTCCCTGAAGGGTTTTAAACAGGTGTGTCATGGCCATAGTGAAGCTTCCAGAAGCTGTCTTTAATCATTTGGAAACATGCCTGTGCCCACAGCTGGAGACTGACGGATGGTCAGTGTGTCCTGAAGAGCATTAAATAGGAATGAAGATGATTTCTACCCTGCCAGGAAGCATCATAAAAAAAAGCGAGTCTCGGAACTGTGTGGAGCATGGCCCTTTTACCTAAGAAAAGCACCAGAATGTTTATTTTTGGTAAGAAGGAAGATGAGCCTCCAAAATAGTAAAATTGGGATTCCCTGTGGAGGAGGTAAGGAGCAGGGTTATATGCTGGTTTCTGTACATACAGCCCATGGTCTTGATCATGGAGCTGTAAGGGAGGGAAAATATGTTCCTTCCGTTCATCTTAGGTTAATTGACTGGGGCCCCTGTAACAAAGAGATTAGCAAGAGGAAGAAAAGACCCACAATTTAAAAAATTTAAGTTTTGCCTGAAATGTGAACCTTCATAAAGAAATGAAGCTTCTGGGAAGTGGTTGAACCTGAGTGTTTTTGCTAGGTGTTACAGTTTAGATCTGGAATGGTCCCCAAAGCAGCAATTCAAAGGTAGGGCTTTGGGGAAGTAATTGGATCATGAGATATCTGACCTCACTAGTGGATTAACCACTAATAGGTTGATAGCGCAATGGGCTGGTGGGGGGCGGCTCAAGTAGTAGAGGCCTTGTGTTCAAACCCCAATACTGCCACACACACACACAAAAAGAAAGCCCTGAAACAAACAAACCTTAATGGAATATTGGGAGATAATAGAATCTTTAGGAGGTGGGGCCTGGTTGGAGGAAGAAAGTCACCGGGACATGCACTTGAAAGGTATGTCTTGTCCTTGGTCCTTCCCTATCTCCCCTTGCCTCCTGTCTGCCATGACCTGAGCTGTTTGTTCTATCGTATGACCCTACCATGATGCTCTGCCTCACCACAGGCCCAGAACCAACACAGGCAAGTGATCATGGGTGAGACCTCTGAAACTATGAGCCAAAATAAACTTTCCTCCTTTAAGTTGATTTCCTCAGGTATTTTGTCACAGCAACAGTAAACTGACCGACATAGTAGATTAGATTAAGAGTGGAAAGTCATGGAGAAACATCATAGGGCCAAACTGGGGAAACTGAGCAGGACCTATTTGATCAGATTCCTCTCTTTATCTCTTCTTTGGTGATAAGGGTGTTCTCTTCTTTTCACATTAGGGTCTTATGACCTGCGTCTAGGGAAAAGGGTGTGGGACTATCACGAGACTTTTCGTTACATGCGTGCTATTTCTCAAATTCGTTTAGCTTAAAATATTCAGTATGCCATGGTGCTGTATTTGAGATAGCATGTCCTGAACCATACCAAAACCATATGACTGTTTCTGTGTAGTTTTTTAAAAAATTAAAACGAGAGCAAAGTAGTCTATAAAAATTGAGAGCAGGGCTGGAGGAGTGGCTCAAGTGGTAGCTTGCCTAGCAACTATGAGGTCCTGAGTTCAAAACCTAGTACCACCAAAAGAAAAAAAGGAAGGAAAAACTGGGAGCAGAGTGCATCAAAAGAACCTAAGTGTGTGGGGCAGGGAAGGGGTTGAGGGGAAGAGCCAATGGCAGTGATGTAACTAATGTACAATGTAAGTCTAATTGAAAATTGTCACTATGAGTTCCCCCCTGTATAACGAATATAACCTAATAAAAAATTTATATATAAAATGGAGAACCTAAGTGTGAGTTGAATTGGTGTCTTAATTGTACA